TTACATCATGTCAGGTAGATCTATGGCCTTATTATTCAATTTGGAGATTAGATATAGGACTGAGAACATACCTCACTTGTATGGGTGCCAAGATGACAAGGAGTGGATTTGTGAGGCCTAATTTTGGTTGTCACCTTGACTGGCTTGAGGGATGCCCAGATAATTGGTAAAGTGCAGTTTTGGGTGTGTCTGTGAGGATGTTCCCAGATGTAGGTCAGCAAGCTCAGTGGGGAAGACCTGTCCTGAATGTGAAGAGCATCATCCAACAGGTGGGGACCTTGGATGGGATGGAAGAGTGGAAGAAAGAGGGTGTGAGCTCTCGCTCACATTTCACTTTTCTCAGCTGGCTATGGTTTTTTGCTCCTATCACCTGTGGACATCAAGCTTCATGTTCTTCAGCCTTTGAATGAAGAATTCACCAGCAGCTTTCCAGGGGGCTTTCAGGCTTTCCACCTTAGACTAGGGTTGCATTATTGGCCTCTCTATTGTTCAGAGACTTTTGGCTTCTTCGACTAAGCAGCTATCGGCTTCCATGGCTCTTAGTCTATAGATAGTTGTGTCAGTTACTTTTCTCTCATTGCTGAGACAAAATACCCGACACCCAAAGTTAAAGGAGAAGGGGTTATTTGGCTTACAGTTCATATAGGTTTCAGTCCATAATCAGGTGGCTCCAAGGCTGGGATGATGAACAGGCTTCGCAGAGGAGAAACAACATGGCACCCACAAGGCAGCAAAGGTAACAAGGGAGGAAGATTTTCACTGCATCTTTCTGCCTCTTTTATCCCATCTAGACTACTGGGATTAGGGCGGTGCTAAATCACTTGCTCACATGTAATGGTTTAGTAATCACACACCCTTAACCCCAGCATCACACATTCCAGATTCAGCTACCTCTGAAAAAGAAAGTCCCACCTCATCTGCATGAGGCTTTGGGGGGAAATCTTAAAAAACCCCATAACAATAGCCATTATGGGACTAGTTTAGTCTCTTATTTGAGCCAATCTAATAAATTCCTTCTTATATGTATTATGCATATTATATTTGCTTTTTTTTTTTTTTGTACCGGGGAACAAACTCAAGACCTTGTGCTTGTGTGGCAGAAGGCAGAACCACTGAGCTAAACAACAAATACTGTTGTTCAGTATTTACAACAGGCAAAATACTAAGTCAAACTAAGTGTCCATGGCTACCTTTTCTTTGACAAAGAGACCAAATAATTTCACTGGAGAAAAGATAGCCTCATTCATTCATTCATTTACTCATTCATTCATTCATTCAGACAGGGCCTTGCTTTGTAATTCAGGCTGGCCTCAAACTCACAGCAATCCTCCTGCCTCAGCCTGCTGAATGCTGGGTTTATAGACCTGCACCACCAAATCCAGCTAAGACGGCCTCTTTTAAAAATAGTGCTGGGAAAACTGGCTGTCCACATGCTGAAGATTGAACCTAGACCCATATCTCTCAGCATGCACTAAACTAAAATCAAAATGGATCATATATATAAATATTAAAACAGAACCAATCTGCTGGAAGATGAAATGGGTAAAACTCTTGAAGACATAGGTATAAACAAAGACTTTCTGGACAGAATCCTGGTTACACAAGAAATAATACCAAAAATCAGCAAATGGGATCATATTAAGTCAAGAAGCTTCTGCATAGCAAAGGAAACCACCAACAGAGTAAAGAGGCAACTTACAGAATGGGAAAATATTTTCCCAGCTACTCCTCAGACAGAAGATTAATGTCTAGAATATATGAAGAACTCAAAAAAATTAGACTCCCCAAATTTAAAGACTCAATCAGAAAATGGGCCAGCAAAATGAGTAGACACTTCTCAAATGAAGAAGTACAAATGGCCAATAAATACATGAAAAAATGTTCAACATGGCTGGCCATTTGAAAAATGCAAATAAAAACATCACAGAGACTATCTTATTCTAGAAAGAATGGCTACCATCAAGAAATCAACCAGTAGCAAGTGGAGGAGATGCTGTGGGGAAAGAGGAACCCTCCTTCATTGTTGGCGGGACTGTAAATGAATACTAGTACTATACGACCACTATGGAAATCAGTATGGAAATTCCTCAAAAAAGCTACAAATAGAAATTCCATTTGACCCAGCTATTCCCCTTTTAGGTAGCTTCTCAAAAGGGTCAAAGACATCATATCACAGTAACATATGCATACTGATGTTTATAGCAGCACAATTTACAATAGCTAAATTTTGGAAGCAGCCTATCTGTCCATCAACAGATGAATGGATAAAGAAAATGCGGTATAGTATTTATAAACAATGGAGTAGTACTCGGCTATAAAGAAGGATAAACTCAAGTCATCTGTAGGAAAATGGGTGCACCTTGAGACCATAATGTTAAGTGAAGTAACTCAGATACACAGCTTAAATATTGCAAGGTTTCTTTTATATGAGAAACCAATTATATAACTAAAGTGCAAAATAAAAGACAGACAATAGGTAAAAAGAGAAAAAAACATTGAAACTCAGGATGGACAATGTATCTAAAAGTGTACTTTGATTTAGTATAATTGTCATATATGGTTTTAGATAATTAACTTGGTAATGACTTATAAAGGCACTTATGCTGGCAAAAAAAATTTTTTTAAAGTGGAGGGGAAGAGGAAAAAGAATCGAGATGTTATGTATGTGTTCCAATTCCCAATTAAATGTAATCATTCTGTACTTCAAATATGTACTCATAAAAATTTAAAAAACTGTGTCCATAAATGGGTGAACAGGATAAAGAAATGTTACACAATGAAATGTTGTTCATCCATAAAAAAGGGTAAAATCTTTTTAAATTTGCAGCCACACAGATGAGCCTGAAGGACATTATGTTAAGCTGAATAGATAAGACATAGAAAGACAATTTCCACATGTTCGCACTTACACATGGAAGCTTAAAAGTTGATCCCATGCCGGGGATTTAGCTCAGTGGTGCCACTGCCTGCCTCACAAGCGCAAGGTCCCAAGTTTGATCCCTGGTACCAAAAAAAAAAAAAAAAAAAGTTGATCCCATACACAAAGAACAAAATAACAGTTACCACAAACTGGGAAGGCTGGAGGGATGGGAGACAGAGAGAGGTCTGCAGCGCTATAGGAATAAATTCTAACATCCTATAGCACAGTAGGATATCTGGTTAACAACAAATGTGTATTGTAGAACAGCTACTAGTAAGGACTTTGAATATTCCCAACATGAACAAATAATAAATGATTAAGGTGATGAATATGTTGATTACCTTGATCTGATCCTCATATATCACATCCATATATTGAAGTACCACATTGTTCTCTATAAACATGCATGTTTAGTATGTGTCAATTGAAAGTGAAGAATAAAAAAGAGCCTACCATTGTATTTGCAGTGTTAGAAAAAGAAGAAGCAAACTGCCAATATTAGTAGAAGGAAAGAAATGAAGGTCAGAGCAGAAGGCTTGGGGGTACAGCTGAGGGGAGAGCCGTGACCTAGTATCTGTGAAGCCCTGAGTTCTAAGTACAGCAAAAAAGATCAGCACAGAAAAACAAAATTTAGACTGAAAATATACTTTAAAAAACAACAAAAGTTAGTATTTTCAAAAGCACAAAATTGATAAATCTTTAGCTTGTATAATAAAAAGAGAGAAAACCCAACAAATAAAATCAGATACGAAAAAGGACATATTATAATACTACCACAGTATACAAAGGACCACTACAGACTATTACAAACAACCGTATTTTAACAAATTGTAAAACCAAGAAGAAATGGATACATTTCAGGACACACATCATCTATCAGATTTGAACCATAAAGAAACAGAAAATCTGAACAGAACAATATTAAGAAAGGACATTGTATTAATAAAATGTCTTATCTATAAAAAGGCCCAGACTAATTATAGATAATTAGCTTTACTGCTGAGCTTTACCAAACTTTTCAAGAAGAATTAATACTTACTATTCTTGCTAATTGCCATATCAAGTACTAATTTCGAATACTTCCTAACTCATTCTATAAGACCAGCATTACCCTAATACCAAAACCAGACAAGGACATGGGAAAAAATAAAATGAAAACTATGGGCCTATTGGTGAACATAGGGGCAAGAATCTTCAACAAAACACTAGCAAACAAAAGCTCACAGCACAGCAAATAGATCATTCACCACGGTCAAGTGGGATTTATCCTAGGGATGGAAAAATGATTCATCATTAAACAAATGTGCTATAGCACATCAACATAACAAGGACAGAAACAATCACCTCAACAGATTAAGAGCACTTAAAATTCAACATCATTTTATGATTAAAAACTTAACAAATTAAGTATAGAAGGAACACAATAAAAGTTCTGTTTGAATAACCCACAGCTACTATCATTCTGAATTGGGATAAGCTAAAAGGATTTTCTCTAAGATTTGGAGCCAGACATGGAGACTCACTGTCACTTTAACTCAACATAGTACTGGACATCTTGGCCAAAGCAATTAGGAAAGAGGAAAAAAATAAAAGACAAACAAGTTAGAAACAAGGAAGTCAAATTGTTCCTGTTAGAGACAACATGATCTATTAAAAAAAAAAATCTAAGACTCCACCAAGGAACTATCAAAACTAATAAATTGAGTAAAGTTGCAGGATACAAAACTAAGCAGTGTTTACAGTGTTTTCAGCAAAGAATATGAAAAAGAAATAAAAAGCAATCCTATTTATAATAGTTACAAAAAAGAGGAATACCTAAAAACTTAACATTAATTTAACCAAAAATGGTGAGAGTTCTGTATAATGGAAACTATGAAACACTGATGAAAGGAATTATAGAGGTGACTAAATATGGAAAGGCACAGGCATTAGTTTGTTTCTGTTACTATAATGAAATATAAAGAGAAGCAGTTAATTAACTCACAGTTCCGGAGGTTTAAAGATTTGGGACTGGCATCAGCTCAGCTCTGGTGAAGGCCTCATGCTAGATGACATCACAGTGGTGACAGTTGCTACAAGAGGAAGTGATCACATCAACAGATAGCTGAAGAACAACTTAGGGTTCGGTCTCAGGCTTTAACAACAACTTGTTCTCAGGGATCCCACAAGAACTACCTCAGTCCCTACTGAGGTCAATCCCCATGACTTAAGCATCTCCCACTGGGCCCTACCTCTTAATGTAAGTACTCTGGGACCAAACCCCTAACACAGGAAACCCTGGGAGACAAAAATCACACCTAAATCACAGCAACATTCCATTTTCATAGAGAAGAATAAATATTAATGTGTGAGTTTGAGGCCAGGCTGAGCTACATAGTGAGACCCTGTCTCAAAAAATAATAGTAATAATAATCTGATTAAATAAATAGTAGGCAATTGATCTGAATAGACTTTTCTTCAAAGAGGACATACAAGTGACAAGTACATGGAAAACTGCTCAACGTCACTATTCATTGGGGAATTACAAATCAATACCACCTCACTCCATTTAGTAGGGCTCTGTCAAAAAGATTAAAAAATAACAAAAGCTCATGAGAGTGTGGTAAAGGGGAATTCTTATCCATTATTGCTTAGAATTTAAATTAGTGCAGCCATTACAGGGAACAGCATGGAAACAAACTAGAAATAGAACTGCTATGTGATCCAGTATTTCCCACTTCTGGGTAGATATTCAAAGGTAGTGAAATCAGTACATCAAAGAGACATCTGCACTCCACGTTTTATTGCAGGTACTATTCATGATAGCAAAGGTACGAAATCGCCCTAAATGCCCACCAATGGCTAAATGGAATGAGAAAGTTGACTTCTCTGTAGATCTTAACAAACTGATCATACAACTCATGAAATTTCAAGCGACAAGTGTCAGACAAAGACTTTTTAAAGAACAAATTTGGAAGAGTCGCAATTTACCATTTCTAAAGTTACTCTAAAATAACAATATTATCAAAACAACATGGAACTGGCATAAAGATAGCAATACAGACCAATAGAAGAGAACTGATAATCCAGAAATAAACCCGGGTGTCTATGGTTAACTGATTTTCAACAAGGGTGCCAAGACCACTCCATGGGAGAAAGAACAGACTTTTTGGCACATGGTCCCAGGATAACTAGATATTCACGTACAAAGCTATGTATTCAGGCCTCTACTTCACACTGTGTATAAAATGTACTCAAAAAATAGATGAAAGAACTAAAGACTTTTAGAAAGAAATATAGCTATAAACCTTTGTGACCCTGGATTAGGCAACAGTTTCCTAATATGACACCAAAAGCACAAGCAACAAAAGCAAAAACAAGCTGGGACAGTGGCACATGCCTGTCCTCCAAGCTACTCAACAGGCTGAGGCAGAAGGACCTTGATTACAAGGCCAGCCTGGGCTACATAGTGAGATCCTGTCTCTACAGAAAAAAATAAGGGACATATATTCACATATTGGACTTTATCTAAATGTAAAACTTTTGTGGATCAAAGCAACACTGTAAGAAAGTAAAGATAAGCCATACAATAGGAGAAAATGTTTGCAAATTATGTATCTCACAGTGGCCCATTGTAAGATTTTCATATGCTAAACAACTAGGTAACAAAAATGCAAATAATTCAATTAAAGTATGGATAAAGGGCTTGAGTAGAAATATTTCCAGAGAAGATACCAAACTTTCAATAAGTACACAAAATACTAACATTCATTACATAAATACAAATCAAAAGCACAATGAGATATCTCTTCATGCTTGCTGGGATGGCTATAATAAAAAAGAAAACAAACAAATGGAAAATGAAAAGTGGTACTGAGATGAGAGACTGGAGCCCTCACACGCTGCTAGTGAGACTGGAAAACTAGTCTGCTGTTCCTCAGTAAAATGGAATTCCCATTGATGCAGTGGCAATAAAGGTCGTCTGCATCCATTTGAGCTGCTACAAGAAAACACCAGAAACTCGCTGTCTTATGAACAGCAGAACTTTCCCTCCATAGTTCTAGAAGCTGAGAAGATGAGCTGTTCATCAAGGTGCTGTCAGATTCAGCATCTGGTGAGGGTCGGCCTTAGATCACAGATGGTGGCTTTTAGCTGTATCTTTACATGGTGGAAGGGCCTACCTGGCTCTCTGGGGGGTGTGTGTGTGTGTCACTCTCTCTGTCCTGCTCACTCTGGCCGCCCTGCTGGCTGGCTGTCTTTCTCTCTCTCTCGCTCCGGTGCTGAGAATTGAACTCAGGGCCTGTTCACTGAGCTACACCCCCAGCCCTTTTTTAAGACAGGTTCTCACTAAATTGGCCAGCCTGGGCTGGAACTTGCTATCCTCCTGCCTCAGCCTTCTATACTACTGGGATTCCAGGCATGTGCCACCACACTTACTTTTTGTGAAGGCACTAATTCCAATCAGGAGGGCAGAGCCTTTATAATCTGATAATCTCCCAAGGACCCCAACTCCCAATACTATCACACTGGGATTAGGATTTAATATGTGAATTGGGGTCAGGGCACACAAACATTCAGACTATAAAGTACATACCTAAGAGAACTGAAAATGCACTTTCACTCAAGAACTTATACACAAATGCTCATGGCAGCCTTATTCATATAGGCCAAAGTAGAAACAACCCCTATGTCCATCGATGAATGAATAAATACACAAAATGTGGTAATTTATGCCAGGTATGGCCACACACATCTGTAATACCAGTTCTTGGGAGGCTGAGGCAGGAGGATCACCATGAGTTCAAGGCTAGTCTGGGCTACATAGTGAATTCAAGGCCAATCTGAACAGGCAAGATCCTGTCTCAAACAAACAAGAAACCAAAATGGGCTAATCCATAAAATGAAAAATATTAATCTATAAAGAGGAATCAAGTACTGATATACACAACAACGTGAATAACCCTTGAAGACATTATATGAGTAAAAGAATCCAGATATAAACCCTGGTGCGATTTATACAAAATGTCCAGAATGGGCAAATTCACCATGATAGCAGGTCAATTAATGGCTCTCAGGAATGGGTAGTGGGTACTGAACGAGTCCAGAGTTTGTTTTCAGGGTGATGAACAGGTTCAGGAATTAGGCAATGGTGGCATGACATTGTGAATATACTAAAAAGATTTAATTGTACACTTTCAAATGGTTAAGTTGATGAAATTTATGAGAATTTTATTTCAATTGAACAATCTTATATCCTTACATATGTTTATCAGTTGCTGAAAACAGCTTGTTAAATTTTTCACTGTGCTTTGTAGATTTTTCTATTTCTCCTTTTAATTCTGCCCAACTTTTTGAAGTTATGGTACATACAAATTTGAATTGTTATAAGGTCATTCCTTGTTATTTGTGGTAGTTATATTGTACAAAGCTGTTCCAAATACTGACTTAGTAAACACTTTCTCCAAGTGTTAGTAACACTTTCTCCAAAGAGGGATACAGGGTTCGGTTCTTGTGAGGGTCTATTCAAACATTTTCATTAACTGGTCACTACAAAACCTGGTTTTATGGGCCAAGGATGTAGCTCAGCGGCACAGCACCTGCCTGGTAAGTGCAAGGACCCAAGTTTGATCCCTGCTATGAAAAAAGCCCACCTGGTTTTATGCACGTCTTTGTTTAAAGACATTTTAATATATATTGTTGATGCATCAACATCAAACTCAACAAACAGCAGTGCAATTTACACTAGAAATAGGTTCTCTCTCACACATATTTTCTTCCTAAGGTCCATCCTGACCTTTTTGTATCTTGGAACTCATTAGCACTACATTTGGGGACCAATTTAAGCAGTGAAACTGTGAGGAGAAAGCACAAAAATGTGGAAAACATGACACTGAATCGTTCATCAGAAGAACTGTTTATAGCCTGGGAACCGAAGCGAGGAAGAAGGCTGCCTTACTCATCTCGGACCATTCACAGGATGCTCTAATGTTCCCAGTATCCTCTGCTTGTCCACGAATAACCCCAAAATCTATGAGACCATGGATTTGGGATGACAAACTTCAGCAAGCAGGTACTATTGCAAATACGGACTCCTCAATAATGAGGATCAATTGTCTTGCTGCAACTTGGATTTCTAGGTCTTAAAATGTCCCTCTGGCCATGGCATCTCTAGAGAGCCTGAGGAGCCAGAAACTCCCTACACAAAGGCTCCACTTAGAAAGAGGAAACTGGAAACGCTACTGGCAGCTTCCCCGGTTTCTGTCCTAGGGAGCAACTTTTTTGTTTTGTTTTGTTTTGTTTTTTTGGCAGTACTGGGCATTAAATAGGACCTTCACACTGAGCTACATCCTCAGCCCCTACTTTAATCTTTTATTTTGAGACAGAGGCTCACCAAATTGATAAGTGGCCCAGGCTGGCCTTGATTCTGCAATTCTCCTGCCTCAGAGTGCTGGGATTACAGGCGGTACCACCATGCCCAACTAACTTCCTTCCTAACACCTGTCCTTTCAGGATGGCTACGCCCACCTCCCCTAGTACGTACTTATGCTCCTATAACAAATTATCACTGCCTCGGTGGCTTAAAACAGTAGAAATTTATTCTCCATTCTGGAGGCAAGAAGCCCACACTCCCTTCAAAGGACTAGGGGAGAGCCCTTCCCATTCTTGTTCCAGCTGCTAGTGGCCATCAGCCTTCCGGAGCCGTGCAGCTGGGAGTCCAGGCACTGCCTCTGTGGCTGTACTGCCTTCTCTTCCCCCTGTGAAAGCTTCCTTGGCCTCCCTCTGACAAAGGCCAGGTGATTACACTGGGTAATCCTGCAAACTGTTAGCCTCCCAAGATCCCTCCTTTCCCAAGCCAGGTAACAGGTACAGGCTGTAGGAATCAGGACCCGATTGCCTTCTTTGAAGGACACTTTGCAGCCTGCTCTACCTTGTATCCTCGTGCTTGGTGGGGAGGAAGGCCTCACTCAGAGGCCCACGGGACTTCCTGGTTTGTTCCATGAGAACTGGCAACCCAGCTGAGCACGAGTAGGATCTGGCCCTCAGTGAGATGAGCAATACACTCTGGAGACCAGGACAGAGGCCAGGGGACACCAGCTCTTCCTCAGTGCTGTAGCATCTCTTGGGCACAGGGCTTGGCCCTGGGGTTGCGTTACTTCTGACAGTGACAGTAGCACCTCCTCCACGGTGGACCCAGGAGCTGCTGCAGATTCACCTGTAAATTAAAACCCTCTCCTCAGCAAAGGGCTGAGCCTGCCTCCTTCTGCTTCACATACCAGAGGTCGGGCACTTTATAAAGAAAAGAAATTACTTTGGCTCACTGTGATGGAAGTTGGGAAGTTCAAGATCTGTGGAGGGCCTCATGTCGGTGGGGACTCGGAAGAGTCCCATGGCAGCACAGAGCAAGACACAGCAAGCTCGCTAGCTTGGGTCTCTCTTTCTCGTCGGATGAAACCAGGAAGAAGTCACGAGGCCGCATCCTCATGACCGCATCTTATCCTAATTACCACCAGGGCTGGGAATTTAGCTCCGTGGTCCCACCACGTGCCTCGCAAGCTCAAGGACCAGAGTTCAATCCTGGTACCAAAAAAAAAATTTCAGTGGCTAATTACCGCCCCAAAGCCTCAGTTGTCCTACCATTTAACACCTCACAGGGGATTAAATTTCAACAGGAGGTTTGGGAAGGACAGTCAAACTACAGCAAGCTGATTCCACCAGACTGATTGTTCCTTGAATGCTGCAGCTGAGCCTGTCCATGCAGCTATGTAGCTGATGAAGACCACCTGAACACTACCCCATACTGGGTCCTGGGAAGGCAGGTCTCAGCCAGCCAGGTGCTCCCAGCCCAGCTGCAAAGGACTTGGTATAACAAGAGTAAAGGGTACTGAGAACTTTCCGGGCAGGAAGCCTCATTCGTATCTCAAAATAGCCAGATAGATATAGGCAGAACCTTTAAAAGAGTTGTTTTTATACCGGCTTAAGTGCTTTTATGAACCGGGTTAGAGATGAATAAATAGATGAAAGCAGACAAATTAGCTACAGTTCACCTGGTAAGGAACATAAGACAGCTATAGACAAACATTTCTATAACTTTTAGAAAATATGAGTTGCCTCTATTTAGCAAGAAGAGGCACAAGAAAACGATCTAAAATTTCTCCCTGTATTCTGCCAGGGGAAGGGAAGGTCAGGCCCCAGTCTAGGGAAGTCTTAGAGTTGAGTCAGGCTGCAGGGAGCGTTGTGGACTGAAAGGCCACTGTGCCATCGTGAGTGGCAGGCCAAGCCTTTTGTGTTGGCACCAGCCAAGACAGAAGCCCCAAAACGTTCTGTGAGTGCTTCCTGGAGCCGGCGAGGGGGACAGAGGGGCACAGAGGGGGTCACCCTGCGGGAGACCCTTGCTGTGTTCAGATCACCACCCTATGCCGTATTCCTAGTGAAGGACTAGGTTAGTGACATATTCTTTCTTTCCCTTCCAGTGAGGTCTTTCAACATTGAATCTACCTTCCTCAGCTTCCCAGAGTGCTGGGATTCCAGGTGTGTGTACCCTGATTTTTTTTTTCTTGTAAGGCACAGTCTTTCTAGATTGCCCAAGCTGGCTTTGAACTCTTGCCTCCTCCCTCAAGTATCAAGTTCTACACACGTACATCACCACTCCCAACTTGCATGTGCTAATTCTTTGTTGTTTAACACTGACCTTCTTTCTCCTTTTTGGCAGGATGGGGGGGTGATGCAGTATCTCTATGTTGCTCAGGTTGGCTCCGACTCCTGGGTTCAAGTGATTCTTTCACCTCAGCCTCCCAAGTGCTGGGACTACACAGGTGCAGACCCCTGAGCTGACTCCCAACCAACCCCTCCCCATTAGTACTGTACCACTGAGCTACATCCCCAGCCCTTGAGTTTATTTCTTATGCTTTTCTTCAAATAATATTGTAGTAAACTTTATAAAGCTGAATCTGTACAAATCCATGATCCTTTCCATAAATACCAAGAAGTGGCACTGTTGAATCAGTACCATATGCAGCCCCAGCACAGTGTAAAATAACACCCATATCCCCATACCCTTGCTAACACTGGTTATTAATAAGTTTGCTGGATTTCATAATATGAAATGAATACTAGAAAATTAATCAGCCTACAAATTTTTACAACCTAACTTTGTAGAAGGGAGTATACCCTTGCTATGAAGGAGTTGACAGGATATGGGCTGAATTATTGCTCAACTACTTTGAGGTACAAGAATCTGAAGTTCTGATGTCTAAGAGTGTTTTGCTCCAAAAGAGAAGGGGACAGAGGAGAGAGACAGAGATGCATGTGAAATATGAAGCTGTGTGTGAGGCTTAATACGGATTTAAACCCTAGTTTCACCAGGTATTAGTTTTGTGACATTGAACCTATTATTTTCTTAGCATCTAGTTGGGGGGGATGAGAATATAAGTAATATATATATGTTTAATATATGTGTAGTGTTCAGAATGGTAGTCTCCACTTTTATTGCTACTATGACAAACAATTGAGATGATTCTGAGTAGATATTCAAAGAATTTTAGTTACCAATTACAAACTGTATATCTTGGCTTGGAAAAGTTACTTTCCCTTCTCCAATCATTAGCTTTCTTATGTGTTTTAATGGCAGTAGTAATACCCACTTCCCAGGGTTATGTTGAAGATTACAGGGGGGAAAAATCACTTATCTCAGTAGCAGGAATTTAGAATGATCTTTTCCTCTCTAGATTTTTTTTTTTTTTTGGCAGTACTAGGGATTAAATCAAGGGCCTTCACACTAAGCTACCTTTCCAATTTTGATTTCAAGATAGGGTCTCATTAAGTGGCTAAAATGTACAGGCAGGGCTCATGCTCAAAATCCTCTTGCCTCAAACTCCCAAGGTGCTGGGATTACAGGCATGGGCCACTATACCTGGGCTCCTTTAGGAATGCTTTACACCTGCCTCAGAAATATTATGTACTATGCCTTGCAAGGAAACTGCCCACTGCCTTTCTTTTGTGAAGAATTCTAAAAGCAAGGGCTGAGTTAGTGAGCTCTGGTCAAATTATGTCCTCACCATTTCTGAGAGTCTTTACCTTCCCCCTTAAAAAAAAATGATCCCTTTTAACCCCTTAGGCACAATGTTTGGGCGCTTGTCATTGGGTTTTCCTGGCAGACTGCAAAAATCACAGGAAAGCTCAGACACCTGTGTAGGAGAAGCGTGAATAACAAAAAGGATTAGGCAGGGAAGGAGGGAATAAACATGCAGCTTTGTGCATGCTAGGCAATCCTGTCACGGAGCTAATTCTCAGCCCTGTTCTTGCTTAGTAAATACATATTGATTTCTTAAGAGGTTGTGAAAATACTTAAAGACGTGCTAATATCTCACAGCCAAGGCACTCTGACAACACTGTAAACCCCCTGCACCTTCCCTGGCTTAACAGCTTTGATAAGAACTACTCATTACTGAGCACCTATTATGGCTGTGTAATCCTTTCCACAACCTTGCAGAGTATGGAAAGTCCCCAGTTTGCATTGGTTCAACTTACAACTTTTTGACTTTGAGCTAGTCCAGAAGCAATGTGAATTCAAACAGAAACCGTACTTTGGATTTTGAATTTTGATCTTTCGCCCAGCTAGTAATAAGCTCTCTTTCTTGATGTGGGGCAGCTGCAGGGAGCCACAGCTCCAAGTCATCTGCATGATCAAGAGCATAAGTAATCAATACTACTGGGTTCTAAGTGCTAAGCTAGCTCCGTTAGTAGGTGTATTAAATGGATTTTTTACTTGGAATATTTTCAATTTACAATGGGTTTACCTGGTTATCAATGAAGAGACAGCTAATAATTTGTAGAGCCAGGACAGGAACCCGTATCTGTTTGCCTTGAGCTACTACATGCTTTTTTCTTTTCTGCCTCATCTTCCTCTCCTCTGTCTCCTCTCTTACTTTTCCAATTCCTTCCTTTCCCTTCTGGCTTGCCAGACTTCAGGCCACCCTTTGTACCCATACTGGGGGCACTGCCATAGCTTCAGGGTGACCTACTCCCATAACCTTGTACCTTGTGGACTGAGAGAGATGGCATCTGCTCTTTTTTGGCACAACATAGAGTCCTGAGTAGCGCACTAAGACCTTCAGGAACCTAGGAGCTGAGGATTCCTGGGAACTTGAGTCTGAGTCTTTGAAGACAAGCTGGATATTCCAATGATTTGGGGTCCAGTTCTTCCAGAAAACACAAAGAAGACCTTAATGCCATTGTTTAAACAAATATCATGTTGAGGTACTTGAACATTTTTAGACAACAAAAATTTCATATTGTGACTAAGGGAATTAACTAAAAGATTTCAATTAAGGCACTATGTAGTGGCAGGATTACTGCATTTAAGATGTTTGCTCTGAGATAGGGTATCTTTATGTAATATAGGGCAGGCTTGAACTCCCCGTGTAACCCTTGCTGGCCTCAAACTTGTGACATTCCTGCCTCAGCCTCCTGAGGTCTGGAATTACAGGTGTGTACCGCCATACCCTGCCCAGACTTACATGAGCTAATGAAAATACTATGGGTTTAAATGAAAAAATTATTACAGTAAAAGACACATTACCATTATTTCTCCTCCAAATACTCCCTCTCACTTATACCATCATTCTTGCCACATTCAAAAGCAGTTCTGGAAGTCCTCTTTCATCTCTTTATAAGCTACGATCACAAATATGGTGAATGTTGCTGCTGAATCCCATGCAATGGAGAGCAGGCTTGTAAAAATCATAATAGTGTGTCCTCATCCACCTTATTCACTGGATATGGCACCCTGCAACTTCTGGCTCTTCCCTAAAGTCAAAATAAAGTGGACCCTTACATACAAACTTGGGTTAATTAGGTTAATGGAAGATTCATCTGTCGTATGGCATGCACGTACCCAGGTAAACATCCAGATCTCAGCTGCATTGACTTGGTTAACCAGCCCTCAGTCAAGAATCCACTGTAATTATGAAAGCTAAATATTTTGAATTGATTTGGGATATGGCGTCAACCACAACAGAGCAACTAAAAACATAAAAAGGACTTCCAGAACTGCTTCAGAAAGTGGCAAGGACAAAGGAATAATTGTGTTCAAAGTGAGAGGGAGTAGTTGCAATGTGTCTTTTATTGCAATAATTTTTAAAAGACCTTTAAACATTCACTGTGCTTTTGATTATACATTGTATGTTTTAGCAATTTAGATTTTTATTTCCATTGAAATACTCCTCCATCATCTGAAACTCGAAGAAGTTCCAAAGGCAACTGGAATGATTGGGCGTCAGTGGGATAAAGGCACCAAGGTACATGTCTACTTTACTCTAGCTAACTTCTTTTTGAAAGCCTTTAGTTTCCCCTAACCCCTGGAAATTTATGAGGTGCTCAGAAATGAGGTGACAAATGATGCTAAGCTGCAGAGTTATGTAGGATCACCAAGAAATTTGGGAGTGAAGAAAAAGCAGTTTTCTGTTAGGCTCTGATGTAACAAAACAATTCCTAAAAATATTAGAGAACTCATATAGGCAAAAATGAAGTCACAAACAGGCTATTTGGAGCTTTCTAGGGCTAAATAGGAGTTGTGAGAACAACTGAACTTCAAATGTGTTGTTTTTATCTTTATGGCTATGTTTAGGATTTCCCCTCTGTCTAGTAAACTCTTAGAAAGCAGCAGATATGAACTAATAATACATACATACAGAGTTATAAACAAGTTATTCTGAATATACTAGAGTAAATGAGAGGTTACCTAGTATCATTTAAGAGTCATCTTGTTTTTTTTTTCCTCACTGAACAATAAACATTTACTAGAGCAGGAAAAATATCACAGGAGGGTCACTCAAAGTAATTTCTATCAACAGTGTAATTTTGTGTTAATTCTTCCCATCAGTCTTTGACTTTTCTTCTTGCCCAGTGTCAATCCAAAGTCTCTAGCCTTAACTGTCCTAGAAAATTGGTTAAATAATATTAACTTGAATCATAGAAATCTCACTGAGGCTAATGTGAGGACATAGGGTCAATCTAAGGTAAAAACAAATTTGCTTTGTCTTGTTATTTGACTTTCTTTGCAAATTCATACCGGCCAATAGTTTCATGAACTAAGTATAGATAGTGCTTGGAAAAGGTAAAATATAGTGGGTCAGTGGGGGGCCCAAATGGATTCACTAAATTTGTATAAATTCTGGACTTTTGGGGGGAAGATTTGTACTGTGGATAAGCCAGCTAGCCCTGGAATCTCAATTTCTTATCCTCCAAAATGAGGAATACGATTGTCAGAAAGATTCTACCTTTTCCACTTCAGGAAACAATGATTCTGCTCAAATTTAGTGGCTAGCCCATGTGTTTTTCCCTCAATTTCAATTGCTTAAATTCTCTGTGCTTCAAAATCAAAGATTAGAATAAGAAGCTCTAAAGAAGAACTCTAAAGCTATTTCACCTGTTCCTGACTTGCTTACCTTCTCAGTGATCTGGAAGACATCGAGCTGCTGACACACGGAACAACCTGGGTAAATCTTGAATATACACCATTACGCTGAGTAAAAAAAGCCACACACAGAGGGAAACACTGTTGGATTCCATTTTTTAAAGGACAGTCTGAAAGGCAAAACTATAGTGGCAAAATTTAGACCAGTGGTTGCCAGAATTGGGGATGAAGGGGCTAACCTGGATAAAACTGGGGTTAGTGGAACATTTCTGGATAATGAAAATGCTGTCCTGTTTATCTTTATTGTGATTATATCTACATGGTTGTTTGTATACATTCATCAAAATGTACATGAAGAATGGAGAATGTTCTATACATAAATTGTGCCTTGACACATCCAAAATACCTGACTTAAACAATAAGCGTTATCATACCAAGAGTTAGACTGACAGGCCC